AGGGGAGATGATGAAAGGAGCCGTCTACCGGGAATGTGCATCATCGAGGGCCAGCTTCAATGCGTTGACCTGCTCCTCCACCTGAAATCGGAAAAATAACAGAGGGCACAGTAAGAGGCAGTTGAGGATAATTAGGGGTAGAAGAGTAAATTCAAAACCAAATTAAAGGGCAACGGTCGAAAGGATGTCTTGGATGTACCCGCAGCCCGAACGCTGGTAAACAGAGGGCACTGAAACTTACCACACCCAAAGTTCCTGATGAAGAACGCAGAGCATCCACCTGGCTCTCCACTTCGCTACGCTGGGCCGATAGAGTTGCGACACGAGCTTCGGAGGCTGCATACTCCTGCTGAAGTTGTTCACTGCGAATGGCGAGGAAAAAACAGGGGAAGAAAAAAAAGTAAATTTTTGTTCGGGGAAGATTCTTTTACCGCGTCATGCCCGCAGGGAGCAATAGTAGGGTTTCGGGGCCTCAAAGTAAGACGGTTCTGACCGCAGCCTCATATAATAGGCTACCTGTTTTCTGGCAAACCTTGTAGGTAACCTGCAGGCATTTTCAGATACAACTAAATACGACGAGAAAAGATACTCTTTTTATGCGGACTGGACATGAAATCCGCTTTTGTGAACTAGCTGCCCCTGCCATTATATATACAAGTTTGTAGTCTCTTTTGAGCAGCACTGATGAGCTGAACCGAGGCAAAAACTACTGCGCTGGTTGTCAAGCGCCGAATGAAACAACGTTGCCGTTTATTCGAACACACTAAGAGTGAAGGCATTGAGCTTTTTTAAAGTCCAGATTAGCAGTGGTAGGTTATCCAAGCCCTCTTAGGCATCACTAACCCCTGGATAGTGTAAAAAGGGAACAACAGTAGCAGGGATTTTACGGATTGGGCCTAACCGCGAAGGACTAACGAAATGCGCGAAAGAAAACATAAAAATGAGTAAATTTCCGTCAATGTTATCTCTATATATGGCGACAGAATTGACCCTAATAATATTTTAAAAAATGACGAAAAACAACTCTTCATAAATAAAAAAAGGGTTGTTGAATAACAAAACAACACAATAACACAATTTTGTGCGTGTCGTTATGTGAATGTAGTTGACACGCGGAGGGTTACTCCCCGTAGCTATGAAAGAATGAGCTAAATCAGACCTTCTAAAAAAGCAATACTTAGCTACGTATATTAAATCCAGGAGCTCAAAGAACCTATCCTTACGTCCCAGTTTCTCCGAAGCAAACCAATCAGATATTTAATAGAGAGAGTACTGAACCTATAATTTTAAGAAAGACGCCGCAAGCAAACCCAGGCTTTTGATCCTCGAAAACTTGG